GAAGGAAGGCCCCCCGTACTCCAGATCCTGGCTGCATTGGCCTTGCCTGCACCTTTCTTGAGCATATGAAGGCGGTACATTCGCACATGCATCTGCTTCAGCCTGGTCTTCTGCTCTGACCGCGTTGCCGATGAGGCAGTAAGGTCGTGGCCCAGATATGTCGTGTGCTTCTGCCGCTTCACCTTGGACATCCTGGCAAAACCTTTGAAGTGGTAGGCCGTCTGGGCGTTGATCGCAATGTGGCCTGACTTCTCCAGCTGCAGCACCAGGCCAATCTTGCGAGCCGGCCTGCAAGATGCGGAGGTGGCAGTCGCCAGCTCTCGAGAACCACGTGAATCCGTGTCGACCTAACTCAACGCCACGTCGTCCACCAGTTCCTGAGAGCGCACCTCCTTGGCGATGCCCGAGGTGAGCACGAGGCTGCGGGCCAGCAGGACCATCAGGAGTGTCGTAAGGTGCACGCAATTTGCCAGGACGTCTTAATAAACGAGCCTGGTAGACGAGAAGGAATTGAGCGCGAAAGCAGCGCGCAGCTGCTCGTATAAAGAACCAGCATGGAGGCAAGCCTCACCGGAAACTTTTTCGCGGCACTCAAACAATGCACTTTTGTGCCGCATCAGCTCGTATCTTTTGGGCACGCCAGTGAGAAGGACCATGCCATGACCGTCAGTCAAACCTGCCACCTCCCTCTCCAGGGCCGAATCGAAAGCCGCACCGCTAGAGCTTCGGCCTCCGACGTGGCCCCCCACACCTCCTCGGGAGCGTCAGCTGCCTCCCACCGGGCAGATGCGCGGCGCCCGGCGCGGCCCCCACTGCAAACCAAAGTGCTGCGGCGCGCTGTGAGGCGCTCGCCTCCCCCCGGGGCTGGGGACGGAGAGCCAGCTCGGCGATCGGCCGCGGGTCCTGGCCAGGCCAAGAGAGCACCTCGCACCGCTCGAACGAGGCAGTGCCAGCGTGGCCACGGCACCGTCCTGAGGCGCTGCGTCGCCCGAGGCACGATGGTGGTCTGCCCCAGGTGCGTTCTGCAGCTGACGCCGCGGAGGGCCTTGCGGGTGTCCTCCCCCGGGAGCAGCCGCAGGAGGTCCCGCTTGTCGGACTCCCTGGGCTTGGCCGGGGGGGGCCGTCGCCGTGCCTGTCCCAGCACTTGCCCCAGAAGTTCGGCTTGCCATCAGCCTGCTGCGAGGCGTTGAGGGAACCGCTGCCACTGTCGATGGCCTTTGGCAGTGCTCGTGGCGTCGAGGACCGATGGGCCCGACTGGCTCCTGCCACACATGTACTCTCTGCCGAGACCTTCCGTCTCTTGGTGACCTTCTGCTTGTGCTTGCGTCCTCGCCTCTCCGCCTCGGCCACGAGGCGATCAACGTGCAGCTCGGAGTTGTGCAAGGACACATCCATAAAACGAGTCTGAAAGAAATCGACGGCCGCCTGGTCGAGATGCTGCCACACATCAAGCCGAGCCCAACTCCGAGAAAAGACACTCTTGCACTCCACCAGGTGCCGAGCAGTCTTGCGCACCAGGGCCAGGCGGGTCGGGTCGTGCCGACCGCGAGCCGACCCTGGCGGCCCCAGGGGAGCAGGGGACCCTTTCGCCGTGGTACCTGCGCTAATCGCACCAATGGACGCCGACGCAGAAGGTCAGGCCGACGCGATATGCTGAAGGAAGAGGAGGAGGAGGAAGCAGAGGAGGAGGAGGAGGAGGAGGAGGAGGAGGAGGAGGAGGAGGAGGAGGAAGGAAGGAGGAGAGGAGGAGGAGGAGGAGTGAGGAGGAGGAGGAGGAGGAGGAGGAGGAGGAGGAGGAGGAGGAGGAGGAGGAGGAGGAGGAGGCAGTTGGCTTGGTCCAAGCCACCTGCCGTGTGAGGGCATGGGGCACGCGTGTGGGCAGCGCCCCGTGGAGTCGAGTGCGGCGCTCGTCCGTGGCGGATGCGCTGGGTCGTGCGCCTCGCTGCCGGCGGCGCACACCCGGGGGCAGGGCGGGCTGACGGGCGGCCGCTGCGAAAGGCAACGCGGTGCGGTTCTCGATGCTCCTCGGGCTCCTCGCGGTCGTTGTGGCGCTCGCGGCGGTGTTCCGGCTCATCGCGGTCGTCGTCGTGGCGCTCGTGGGGGTGTCCCAGGATGTAGGGGGGAACTTGTTCAGGTTTTCCAAAAGGGCCGATCTCTTCTAATACAGTGAGCGGCTTGGATAAGGAACACTTGCTAGTCAAAAGGGGCTCGGTCGTTCCTTAGGTTCGCATGCTTTATGTATCGCTCCCTATGCGTTACTCCTTTGAAGCAAGGGGCTTCTTTCCTTCTTCATCGTTCCTTAGGTCAGGCCGATGACTGTAAGCCCTCCCCCCCCCCTGCTTTCTCGAGAGGCGGCTCCCCCTCGCGCGCCGCCGAGGCTGTCCCTGCCCCCATCGGAGACCCCCTCCCGGGGTCCCCGGGCCTCGAGACGGCTCCCCCGGGCTCCCATAGTTAGAGAAGACGCACGGGCGATACATATATATATATAATATATGTATGTATATATAATATATATATATATATGATATATATATATAGATTTTTTGCTTTGGCTGGGGCCTGCCGCCGACGGCGACGGCGACGGCGACGACGACGGGCACAGGTCCGCCCAGAATCACTTCTTGGAAATCCCCCGGCGCCCGCGCCGGCCACTTCTCCGAGCTGCGTTCGGCCCTGGCGGAGGGCACCCCAAGAAGCGCCCAGTGCCCTTCAAGACGAATACCACGTCGACGTCGACGACGTCAGCGACGGCGACGACGACGGCGACGGTCCAGAAATCTCGAGCCCGTACGTGCAGTTTCTCAATGCTTGAGGGCCCCAGGGCCCGAAAATGGCTCCTGGTGGCCCGCGCTGGGAAAAGACTCGACTGATCGTTTTTTCACCAATTTCCGCCCTCCGAGGATGGATAGACTGATGGATCCTCGACGGAATTCTGAAGTCGATCAATCCTCCATCGATAGATCTTCGTCTTCAGAATTCCATCGGACATGCGTCTCGTTTCTCCTCTGGGCTTTCTTGCGGCCAGGAGGACGTCCTCGGGACCCCAGTGGAAACCACAAGAACCAGGAGGATCTCCGAATGAATCCTTCGAGTTCTTTTGTGATTTCCACAGGATTCTGGAGTAGCTGTTCGAGCTGCCGACCGCTTCTCCAGGGGCAGGCCTGCGTCCCCGTTCCATGTGTGATGGCCTTGGGGCCCACAAACTGCCCCCGAGGGCCGACATCGAGGAACACCTGCGGGTCGAACAACTCGTGCCGTCGGAGACCTGGGCGTGGAGAAGAGGCGGCGGCAAGGCCTGCCGTGCCCTTGTGGCGTCGGCGGCGGCATCGACGACGGCTGGCGGGAAGCCGGGCGGGCGGCGCAGAGGTGCGCGCCGCGGTGCCGCTGCCCACGGCGACGAGGCCCGCTGGCGCGGCCCCGGCCCCCGCCCCCCCGCCCGCTGGGCGGGCGGCTTCGCGCCGCCCGGCTCGTCGTCGCCAGCGCTGGCACCGCCGTCTCTCACTGCGCGCCCTTGTGGCGGCAGCACGGCTCCATCGTTCGGCCCTGGGCGTGCCGCGTCGTGCGGCGCGCGGCGGGAGAGCCGTTCGGCGAAGGGGAGCACGTGTCCTTCCCCTCTCCCCATCCCATTCCCCGCGTTCCTCCCCAGCGTCGCTAGTCTTGGCAGGGGCGGGCCGGGCCCCCGATTCCCGATCGCTTTGTCCCCGGACGGGATGATGACCGCTGCTTCCTCCCGCGGAGGGTGGGACGCTCTGCTTCAAAATCGTGTCTCCTCCTCCCCCCACGCCTGGTCCTGGGCCGTCCTTTACAGCGTCTCACTCTTCAGCCACCATTGCACATGGCACTGGCCTCGAGCAGCAAGCATCGGCAGGACCATGAGCTTTCGAAGATCCGCATGGGGTTCTCGGATCGGCGCTGAACCTCCCCTGGCAGCGCCTCCGGCGCCGCCCACCGCGCCAGGGAGTGGGGTCCAGCGCCGATCAAAGAAGTCCCCGCGCACCTCCGGAGGCTTCGGTTTGTAGCCTCGTGCCGCGACGGGTTCCGGTCAATGATCTGCGCGCGATTGCCACCGCGCTTCCCGTGGCAGGTCTGGTCCTGAGAGCCGTCGCCGCTGCCGCTGGCCGCCGTCGCCGCCGCCGCCGTCGCCGTCGTCCTCGATCGATTCTCGGGCCCCCGGGCCCTCGGCGGGTTCCCATGTGAGGCTGCGCTGGTAGACATCATGATGAACAGGTTTTCGTCAGGCGCGCTAGCCGACCACTCCTCCTTGCTTCCTCAGTGGGACGCTGGAGGATGTGTGGCTCTTGCGTGCAGTCCGCGGGGTCGGACTTGGTTGCTCCGCGTGGTGCCGTGCAGTGGCCTGTGGGTGCCTGCGGGGTTCGATCCTGCCGCGTGCTCCCGCAAAATGCCTCGTGGGTTGCCTGGCATGCTGGACTTGGTTGAACGGTGCTGTGTCGTGTGGTGCCGTGTTGCCACTTGGGTTGTGGAGGAGGAGGAGGAGAAGGAGGAGGAGGAGGAGGAGGAGGAGGAGGAGGAGGAGGAGGAGGAGGAGGAGGTGTGAAGAGGTCCGATTCGGCTGCCTGGTATTCTGCTGGGCTGCGCCGCGGGCGGCATTGCAGTCGCAGGCGGTTGCCCAGCGCCGTGCCGGTTGATGCGATGCGGTGCTGCGTGGCGGCGCCTGCCCTGCGCACAGAAAGGCGACATGCATCGCACCGGTTCTCACGATTCGCTGCCATCTGTACACACTGTTCATTTCCAATCCTTCGAAAGATCTTTGTTTTTTGGGGGGCCAAGATCCTTTCATTTCTAGTTGTTCTATCCTGGGCCTCTTCCTGGCCACTCGGGGGCCAGGAACAATTAGAAACGAGCAGAATTAGATCTGAGCACGATTAGAAACGAACGACGTGTTTCATTACCGATGGCAGTTCAGGCTGGTTATTTCTGGAAGGTGTGGTCGGACTCTTCACTACGGTCGTTGCTATCACGGTTGTAATCAATATCTGCCCCTGGCTCTTTTTCAAAACCATGCCGGCTCAAGCTGATGCGGGGAGGGCACGGTGGCCTTAGCATCGATGCCCGCGCATAGGCTAATTCGGCAGTGATCTGTTGAACGTCGTCTGGGCTGGACCCATGACAGCTCAGCATAGATGGACGCTTTTGGAGAACTACGGAGACGTGTACACCGCGCGCACGGGGCACACCGTCGTCAACGAGAGCGGGGCGTTCTATCTCTTCGGTGGCACTGACGGTGCGGCCCGTCAGAGCGACGCGCATGCATACAACGTGGAGACCCAGCTGTGGCAGGAGATCCGCGCGAGCGGTCGGCCCCCGCCGGCGCGCAGTGGAGCCCAGGCAGTGGTCTGGAATGGGCTTGTCTGGTTCTTCGGCGGATACACCAAAAAGGATGGGGACTACTTCAATGACGTCTTCACCTTCGATATCGCCACGAGCCAGTGGGATTCGGTGGCCACGCCGGGCGAGTGCCCTGGGAAGCGGACTGACCACAGCGTCGTGCTCTTCCGGGAGTACATGATAGTTTTCGGCGGTTCCGATGGCCGGAACCGATTCAACGACATGTGGGAGCTGAACCTGCGCGAGCGCCGCTGGATGCAGACCTCCACGACGTCCGCCCCGCGAGGCCGCTTCGCTCACACGGCCGTCATGTATGACAACGGGATGTTCGTCTTCGGCGGCTGGGATGGGCAGGACACCCTGCGGGAGCTGCACGAGTACAACGTGTCGTCCAACATGTGGATCGCGCTGCCCCCTCGAGGCACCGCTCCCAGCGCGAGGTACCGCCACACCGCGGTGCTCTGCGGCGACGCCATGTTCACGTTCGGCGGCGTGGACAAGGCGCAGAACCGCTTCCCGGACCTCTACGAGTACCGCTTCCAGCCCAAGATGTGGAACAAGGTTAACACAACCGGCAACGCGCCTTCTGCGCGCACTTTTCACAAGGCCGTGGTGCACAGCGGCTGCATGTACATCCTGGGCGGCTTCGATGGTCGCCGACTAAACGACATGCACTGCGTCCAGCTCCGGACCGCCCAAGAACTGGCGCGACTGCAGGCGCAGGACCGCACTTCAGCCATGGGCGCACAGGGAAGCGGCGGCCAGTGGGCTCGGGGTCAGGCTCCTGGCGCTGGCGGGAATAGTGCTGTCGGGGACGCACAAGATGCAGCGGCTGGCCGGACCCCAGAGGAGATGTGGGCGTGGCACCAGGTGAAAGACCAGCAGGGCCACATCTACACTCCGCGCACAGGCCACGCGGTCATCGTATGGAACCACTGCTTCTACCTCATGGGGGGCACCGATGAGAATGCCAGGCAGAATGACATCTACAGGTATGACGTGCGCAAGCGCATCTGGGCGCTCGTCGGCCCCGCCTCGGGGCATGCGCCTTCCGCCCGCTCTGGCTCAAAGGCTGTCATTTGCCGCGACAGTATCTTCTTCTTCGGTGGGTACACGAAGAAGGACGGCGATTACTTCAACGACCTCTTCGAGTTCAACATACCCCGCGCGCACTGGTCGCGAATAGATGCTGTGGACCGACCGTCCGTCCGGACCGACCACTCATGCATCATGTACGAGGCGAGCATGTACATCTTCGGAGGCTTCGATGCGAGTTCCCGCTTTTCCGACCTCCACCAATACAGCATCGACGACCGGAAGTGGACCGAAATCCCAGCGGCCGGGAGTACCCCCATGGGCCGCTTCGGCCACTCCGCCGTCGTCCACATGTCTGGGATGTTTGTGTTCGGCGGGTGGAATGGGCATGATACTCTGGACGATCTGTATGAGTTCTCCCTGACTACCAAGCACTGGTACAGCATCCCAGGCCGTGGCGAGATGCCCCCGTCTAGATACAGGCATAGCGCCGCGGTGTACGGCTGCTGCATGTTCATCTTCGGCGGCGTGGACAAGAGGCAGGAGCGGTTCTCAGACCTCTTCGAGTTCAATTTCGACACGAGGTCGTGGGCGCGCCTGAAGACCTTCGGTGACCCGCCGACGGCACGCACATTCCATTGCGCAGTAATGTACGGCGGGGAGATGTACATCCTGGGTGGCTTTGACGGTCAGCGCCGGAACGACATGTACCGGATCGCAATGCCAGAACAACTTCCCAGGGAGGAGAAGCGCAGGCGGAGGCTCATCACTCTGCCTGGCGACACCGAGTCGGCGATCGAGCCGGAGAGCGCCGCCGATTCCGTCGCGGACCAGAAGACCTCCAATAGCCAGGAGGACCAGCTGCGACTTCAGGTGCAAGAGCTGCAGAAGAGGCTCGAGGTGGAGCTCGAGAGACACCTCTGCAAGATATGCTACGAGCGGGAGATCGACACGGTCCTCCTGGACTGCAATCACCGAACGGTCTGCCAGCGCTGCCTGGAGCTCCGGGACAAACGACAGGGGGGCACTGGCCCGGGGGACGAGCCATCGAACTTCAATCGCCCACCCATCGCCAATTCTGGGCCGGGACGCCCACCCCGCCCGGGAAAACATGCGGTTTCGCAAGGGAGGACCTGTCGTCGATCTATCGGCGATGTGCTGCCTACTCCAGCCCTGTGCTCTTATCGTTCCCCCCTGAGGAGCAGGTGCAGCTGTGCCCCTTGTGCAGAGTGCCGATCTCCAACGTTGTGCAGACGTTCAACGCGTGAGGCCACGCCACAAGAGAGCACGCTGGCGCTTTGACCGTAGTCCCTTGTTTGATTGGAGCGCTGGTGGCAAAACGCCAGGCGGGGGAGATCGTGCACACTCCAGGGCATCTCGATCCAATTCGATTGCGATTTCGCGGCCGGTCCGATCCATTTCGATTCCGATCTTCCGCAGATCCGATGCGGACCGATGCTTGCATGACGCCGTTGTGCATCCTGGCGCAGCCGATCCGAGTCGATGTCGACTCCGTGCCGATGCGGCCCGAGCCGACGACATGTCGATTCGATCGGACTTCCCGACTCGATTCGGCCACGCGCAGAGGGGGGTAGGAGGAGGGGGGAATGCTTCTTAGAAACACCCCTGCTTCTCAGAAGGCGCGGGCCTTGTCTGTAGATGTGGGGCCGGCGCCTTCTAAGAAGCAGCCTCCTTCTCGGAAGCCTTCCCCCCTCCCCCTACCCCCTTCGTGCGCGCCCCCAATCGATGCTGGCTGATTCCGAGGCGGGAATTTGTCCATATCCACCGCTTGGGGTGTCAGTTTTCGGAGCCTCGGCAGGCGGTGGATCCTGCACTCAGTCAGTCCAGACCCCCGTGCACCTCTAAGAGCAGGGCCAGGTCCGGGCCGTGCGCGGAGCCCCTCGCAGAGAGAGTTCCGGGAGGCCGTCTCCGGACTCTGGCCTTCCACGCCGTGGTGCTCCCCTCGCGGCGTGGGCCATCGAGGTCCCTCGACGCCACCCTGCAGGGGCGTGCGTCGCCGCCCATAGGCTTGCTGGTGTGTGTGTGTGTGTGTGTGTCCCCGGGGGGCCAGGGGGAGCGCCCACGGGAGGCCGATGCTCGTGGCCTCCTCCTCCTCCTCCTTCTCCTCCTCCTCCTCCTCCTCCTCCTCCTCCTCCTCCTCCTCCTCCTCCTCCTCCTCCTCCTCCTCCCCCTCCTCCTCCTCCTCCTCCTCCTCCTCCTCCTTCAGGGGCCTCCGGTGCGCGGCTTTCGGGCGGCGGGCGGGGGGGTGCAGCAGCCGAGCACGCAGCAGGCCGCTGCGGCCGCTTTCGCGTGCGGCGGTCGGCCAGCCGGGGCCCGCCCGGCGTGCCGCCTGGGCACCGTGGGAGCACGCATCTGTCGTTGGAAGCAGGCATTTCTGGAGTCCCAGATTCCAATCTACTTTCAGCACCGCGAGCGGCGCCACGCGTGCGGGGCGCGGTCGGCGCGTGGGCGCTGGCGCGCGGGTTGACATGCTGGGCGCCAACAGGACAGCGCGGGCAAATGCCAGCTCTTGAGCAATGACCACACCAGGAGTCGAGCCTGGGTTGTCGCGGCCACAACGCGACGTCCTAACCACTAGACGATGTGGTCTCTGCCCGCGCGTGGGCCGCGCGCGGTTTCTTGTTTGTGCCCTGGTCGCGCGCGTGCGAGACCGTCCTACTTCCAATCTACTTCCAGTGGGAACACCCATCGGTCGTTGAAAGTAGGTACTCCAGATTTCGTAATCAAAGGGAGGGGGTCTGGGCCCTCCAAGACGGGCCATTTCAGACCTCCCCCGTGGGAGGACCCTCCGAAACATCGTCCCCAGACCCCCCCAGGCCCTCCAAGACAGCCTGCAAGAGACCCCCCCCCCCGAAATGAGACCCCCCTCCCTTTATGACGAAATCTGGAGTATTTCTGGAGTCCCAGATTCCAATCTACTATCAGCACCTTCCTGCTTCATGTTTCCACCTACTTCGTCCGACCGCAGGGCACGCACGCCGTAAGGAAGGCGCGGTGCCTCCAGGCCCTGGCCTGCGTAGAGCCTGCGCAGAGCCTGCGTTTTTTAAATATTGCAGTCGTTACGCGGATTGGGGGCGGTTCCTTTTCCACGTGGGGCTTTCGCCTGAGACTCCCGTACTTCTAGCGACCAGGTGCTCCGACGGATGCAAGACCTACGCGGGGGAAGGGCTGTTCTCGGCTACACGTGGGGCGCAGGGGTGACCTCTCGCCGGGGTGACCTGTGGTTCGGGCACGGTGGGGTCCCCGGACGGGCAAAGGCGGTGCGATGGCAGCGGCTCGTGCGCTCCGTCTCGGCCTCCCCGTGGCCTCCGACAGTGGCGCAACGAAGGTCGCTCCTGCCTCGGGTCGCTCGTGCGCGGGGCCGGTGTTCCTCGAGAGAGTCGGGCGACGCGCGCCTCGCCTCCTCGGTCGCGACACGGTGCGGCCGGAGGACGGCCGGCCGGCCCTTCGTGGGCCTCGCGTAATGGAAGGGGGGCGGTCTTTGTGGGGGGCAGCGGGGGCGGCAGGGAAGGGGCCCTCCAAGGGCCTCTGCCAAAGGGGCCCTCCTGAGGGCCCTCAAGGGGGGGGGGGGCCTGCGGTGCCCGATGCGTGCACCTCTCGGGCCTCGAGGGCCCAACAGGGGGCCCTTCTCGGGGCTGTCGGGTCCCAGAGGGGGCCTCCACCCTGACCTTCCAGAGACCTTTTTATTAGCACTGGAGACCTGAAAACCTAAAAAGCTGAGCGAAACAGCCTATAACCAAGACGTAGAATAGCTTTGGGATAGGTGTTTAAGTCGGGTGCTATTTTTTAGCCCTCCTGGAAGGTCAGGGA